GTTATTGAACTCAAGTTTTATTCATCATAAAATTCATACAACTCCTCATCACTGTCAAAATTCTCATCCATTAGCTTGTCCTCATCTGTGTCTGATGACGAATCACTGTCTTCATATGTTGCCTCGTCCTCAGTGGGAAATACAAGTAAAATAATCTACAACCACTGTATAAGATGCACCCAATTTTCAGACCCCAAATTTTTCAAAAAAGGGTGCGTCTTATACATGGGAACTACGGTAATTTCTATTTCTGTTTGTTTGCTGCCAGAGTATAGAAATACAATTAAGTTTTATATATTGAGAGCATATCTAATAATCTGGCTCAGGTCACTTATTAATTCTAATATTTTGTAGATTCCTTTGGATTTTCCATGTCCATAATTATGTAATCTTCATATTGTGACAGTTTTCCTCTCCCTTCCCAATATTTATAGACTTCATTTCCTCTTCTTGCTATACTGTTCTGGCAAAGGCCTCAAGTGCCATGTTGAATAAACATGCCTTTTTGGTAGCTACCCTTTATCAGATTAAGAAAATTCCTTTTCACTCTTAGTTCACTGGTGTTTTCAAAGACTAATGGATATTGAGTTTTATCAAATGCTTTTCTGCATCTCCTGAGATGATCATATTGTTTTCTTACATTATTCAGTGAATGAGGTAATGTATACCAATTGACTTTTGAGTGTCAAACCAACTTTGTTCTCCTAACAAAACCCCCTTGGTCATAATATGTTATCCTGTTTATGTATTGCTGGATTCAATTTGCTAATATTTTGTTTAGAATTTTTGCATCAGTGTTTGTAAATGAGCTTGGCCTGTTTTCCTGTCTTGTGATTTCCTTGTAAGGTTTTGGTGTCAGTAGAGTGATCATCTTTTTCTGATTTTCCTGCAACTTTCCTGGTCTAAGCACTGAAAGTTCCCATCCAGGGAGCCCTCTCAGTCTCAGGCAAACAAGCACAGTTGGTCACCCTACGTGTCAGCATGACTGGCCTCATGAATGAGTTGGGACGTATTTCCTCTTTCCCAGTTCTCTGGGTTTTTGTGAGATTGGTATAATTTCTTTCTTAAATGTGTGAAAAGATTTATGAGTAAAGTCATCTGGGCCTAGCATTTTCTTTGTTCAGAAGTTTTAAATTATGAATTTAATTTATTTAACAGATATAGGACTATTCTTATATCGGTTATATTAAATTGTTTTTCAAAGAATTTGACCATTTTATCTAAGTTATCAAATTTCCTGACATAGCATTGCCAGGTCTTCTTTATTTTCTTTCAATTCTGTTACATAATTTTCTGTGTAGAAGCCTTGTAGTATTTATTAGGTTATTCTTAGATGTTGGATCATTTTTGATGCCACTGTAAATTACATTTTTAAAAACTTCATGTTTGTATTCTTTGTTGCTGGTAATCAAAATACTATTGATTTCACATTGAACTTATATCCAAAAACCTTGCTTGACTTACTTATCAGTTCTAATAATTTATCTTTGTCCAGAGATAATTTTGTCTATGATTAATGATAGTTTAATTTATTTAGTACCAGTGCATATTCTTCTCTTCTAAAGTTTCCTTTTTTCATTTTTTTTCTTCTATTTCCTTTTTATTCTTTTTAAAAAAATCTTTCTTCTTTTTCGATTTTATTGAACTAGCTTGGACTCCAGTTGTTGACTAGATATGATATATTATCTATATAATGCATCTTGTATTGTTCTCCATCTCAGAGGAAAAGGGTTTAATATTTCATCTTTAAATGAAAGTTAATTATATTTTAAAATAATATCCTTTTTCTTTGAGGGATTTAAAGGATGACATAATTTCATTATCAAGTAAATTATATCTCTTAAATTTGAAAGTCTGAAAATAGACAAAGCATGTTACCCAGAGGGAAAAGAGTAGATTTGGGGTCTGAAATATAGCCTCTACTCAAATATATTTTTCTCTTCTAATTAATAAGCCACTTTTTGAGCAATTGTGCTTATAACATATTAAAATGTAAATTTCTCTTTAAAAACACCTTAACTGTGTAGCCAGGAAATGCCCATCTAGCTTAATCCCTCTTCTTAGCTTGAAAAGTTATCATCCAAGGCCAACAGGGAAAATACTAAAGCTTCCTGATTGACAATTTTGCCTGTGACTGACCCCCAAAGCCTCCCTTCCCTGCTAAAGAGATCAAGCTCTGAGACCTCGCACAGAACTTACGCTGCGTGCAAATGGTTATGAAAGCTTCACAGCCTCCAGGGGGGCCCTCAGGGATAGGATGCCCCTTCTCCAACCTCCAAACCAAGACGACTTAAGACACCCACTTGGTGAATATCAGATGCCAGCCCTAGGTATGCCGATTTCTGCTTCCTTACAATTTAATTTTGAACTTGATGGAAATGATTTGTAGGTAAACTTTCTAAGAGACGACTTTATGGTGGTGGAAGTTTGGAAACCCTCAGGGGCCCTCTCCTTGGTACTCCCTGGCAAACCAACTTCCCCTTTGACCTCGGCTGACACACAAGCCAACATGTTAACAGATGTTCACACGTGTGACTATGACCTCGTGGCTACGAAGTATTGTGAATCCACCTTGGTTTACGCTCAGCTCATCGATGTCCATGGAGCCCCATCGCACACTTGTCCCAGGCACGGTGAGAGTACATCCTGGACTCTGTCCTCCAAAGCTGTACTCCAGTTGGGAGTACGACCTAGCACTCAGGAAAAAACAAAGAAAGACTGAGTTCTAAGTTTCTTGTCACTGTCTTTGAGGGCACATATTCGTTCGGGGAATGGAGAGTAGTTAGGGAAGATGTGAAGGAACGAGTAAAGCTTGGAGGGTAGTCTGGGTTAAATCCGGGAGACACTGACAGGTGGGCGCACGGGCAGGTGCTGGGAGGCAGGACACCACGACTGAGTCAAGCCGTGATTGGCTGAATGTCTCTTTGGCTGTTGTTGCCATCTGCAATTCCCACCAACTCTGCCTTCAAAGCAATCCCAAATCCAGCCCTGATCTTCACCTGTACCGCTAGCACCGTGGTCTAAGCCACGGCCACAGTGGCGGAGGTTTTCAGTAGCCCCCTCTGAGCTCTCGTGCGCCCACCCTACACCCGCCCCGTCCCTGCACTCAGCGCACATGTGTAGATCCTGTCTTTGCCCTGCTCAGCGTCTCCGTGGCCTTCCATCACACAGAAATCAAACCAGAGTCCTTCCAATGGCCTGGGCCCTCCATGGCCTGCCCATTGGCCTCTCCAGGCCCATAGGCTTTCTTGGGGTTCCTCAAACACCCCCAGCTAATCTCCCCTGGGTCTTTGGCATTGATGGTCCCCTCCTTGGAACAGCCTCCCTTCCTAGTTCACAAGACTCTTTATCTCATCATTGAGGTCTTGCCTGAAACATCATTTCCTCCTAGAGGCCTTTCCCCATTGCTCTGTCCCATCACTCTCAAAGTCTTTCCCAGCCTCATCCTTTCTTAGCATTTGTCATCACCTGAGATCACAGGTGAGTGCTTTGATCTTTCTGCCATCTGCTTGGCTCATGACAGATGGCCCGTAAATATTTGCTGAATAAATGAATGCATGATTTGCATCCACCGGCCTTCCAAAGGGGTTCTTAGTCCCCTGGCCCTCAGCGGCAGGGCTATGTTCTCTGTTGATAAAACATCTTTAAGCTGTATTGTGTGCAGAAGCCTCTTGGGACAAAGAGGCCCCTACAGAATGGAGCGTGCAGTGTCTCTGGGAGAACACGTCAGGTTCCCTGTCTTTTGTCTTCAGATCAGCTGCAAGTCTAGACTTGGGCTCAGTCACAGGGGGGACAGAAACCCCCCCCAAAGCGTTCTCCCTGTCCACTTGGTGTGTTTGCTTCACACTGGGCAGGACCTTCCTGTTCTTTTAAATAAAAGGAGGGCCTGTGTTTCAAAGACTCTGTTATGTGAAGTTTCTGCAAAGGTTTTCTTACCTTACTTACTAATTAAAGGGAAGCCACATTTTCCCCTCCCTGGTCCCTGCAGTCATACCGCCAATGGCTATCTGATAGCCCCATGCAGGTTGGGTTACACAGACGCCCGCGATAATGCCATTTGCTGCGATGATTGAGTCGACAAGGCTGAGTGACTTGGTGGAAATATTTCCCGATTGGACTAACTTGTTGGCAGCCTGCTTACCAACACGCTTGCTTTTATAATGAAAAAGAAAATTATTTCTGCTCTTAATGATGGCGGCTCCAGAAATGGTGAGTAAAATGGCGGGGGGAGGGAACGAGTAGCTGTCTCTAAAAGATGACTCCTCAACATTTCTTGATGTTGTGAAACCTGCCAACGATGGCCTGTTGGGAAAGGACCTCCTTACCAGGGTTCAATGTTTCAGGAAGCGTTTTTATCATTTATTTTTCTTCTTGTTATAAAGCTAAGCTGTTTAATTTGCCACATGCTGATAGGAACCATCCAGTGTCAGCAAGCATCAATGTAAAAAATGCTGACTGAATGTATTAGTTTTCTAAGAGATTCTTCAAAGCTATCCTTGTGATGGAAATGAAATAAACGTCTTTAGCGCATTGACGTCTTGCTTAGATTTTCCTATGATCATGTGAAAGAGTGTGAACACAAAGTTTGTTTTAAATGGCTTGATAGTTTCCTTTTGAATTTCAAATATTACAAGGAGTGAACAGAAAATACAAGCAGGTGCTCTAAGTACCTATGTTTCTGTGCCTGTTGGAGCCTCTGGGTTTAGCACGTTGAGGAGGCAGGTTCCTGGACAAGTCATGCCTGAGATGTGGGAGAGTGAACTGGAATTTAGTTGGACCGTTCGGCCATTCCCTTGCTCCCTCCGCCCCTCTTAGAGTTCCTGGGTAAAACTTCCTGAGCCTTTAGCCTCTTGGCCTGTGATAGGAGGGATTCTCTTGGAAGAAACAGAGCCCCAGTGTAGCTGTGGTGCAGGCCCGCGGTCCCCAGCCACTCCTCCCTTTGCTATGTGGGGGGGTGGACTGGGCACCCCAGGGCCCGGATAGTTTTATCCGTAATTAGGTCATGCCTGTGCGAGCTGGGAAAGGCTCGTGCTTACGGGAAGCTGCAAATACTGTGGGTGAGTGTCCCTTCCCTGGTGCCATGGACATTTTGGGGATGCAGACATGTGAGTATGAAATCTTATGTTTGTGGTTGGCATGTCACATGCGCAGGCAGAGGGTCTAGTTTACGTGGGACAAATGGCAATGACAAAAAAGAGAAGGAACATGCTTTGAACGTAATTTATAGTCTGAAAAAGAATGGTACAGTAACTTCTTCACGGTAAAAGAGCCTATCTCTGAAGATATGTACTCAATTGACGTTAAGATTTGGTCAAACAAACATTGGGAAAGTCATTAGTTTAGCACAATTAAGTTCATTGTTTTTCACTAAGTCTAGAAGTTTCTCTGTTATCGGCTGTGGCTTGGAAAACAATGTGTTCCCGCTGGACAGTTTTTTTTTTATTAATCGGTACTGAATTCGCTTTATGTGGATTGTCGGATTTCAAAGATTTAATGCGACAAAGATGCGTCTGATGCTAACACTAAATGGGGGCGCAAACACTTTCTGTTCTTCCTGGTGAAGGAGGTGGAGGTGGAGCCAGAAGTCAGAAGCCCTGAAATCGTCACCATGGGGGAGAATGACCCGCCCGCCGCTGAGGCCCCCTTCTCCTTCAGGTCGCTTTTTGGCCTTGATGATTTGAAAATAAGTCCTGTTACGCCAGGTAGGTGGACCCAGGTGTGATTTCTGTCTCCCACTCCCGCCCACCCCAGATGACAAATGCGGCTGAGTGGAGTCCTTACATTCATCAGTGGGACACATGCGTTTCCTTGGTTTACAGAATCCCCCAGAGAAGGGACATTCGAGGGGGACCCTTCTGTTCGGCCCCTTGGCGACTCCCTGGACACATGTGCTTGTCGTCTCTGGGTTGAAGTTTTCAAAAGTTGAGGCTCCAACTCTCCCTGGGCGTTACGGGTCAGATCCTGGCCAGGAAATCTCTGAGCCCACGGGGAGTCCTGAGAATCTGGGCTCACCAATCCTTCCAGAAAATTTAACATAAACCAGATGTCACTGAAGGTATTCAATGCCTAGATTAAAATCCGATAGCAGGTGATGGAGTTGCTCCTGAGGACCAAGGAAGGAAAGCCGGGTTTGTAAACAGGTCACAAGTGCTTGGAGAAACAGCGGGCTTCATAGTGCCTGTCCAGCTAGGATATTTTTGGCAAGAGCCCATCAGGACTTGCTGTGGTGAGCTGTGGCTCGCTGGTCTTGGATGCCGTCAGGAATACTTGCCTCTGGGGCTGGCAAGAGGGATCTCTGCTGAGGGGCTTTGGCTGAGGTTCCAGAAAGCGTGGAGTGGGGGTTACCCTGCTGATTCCTTTTAAACCACCGGGCAATTGATGTGGTGTTGGTGTGGGGAGTTGGTGAAGAGGGTGAGAGGTGGGGGGAGACATTTCAAGTAAAAGAAGAGACACAATTTAAAAATATGACTCCAAAATTAACATAAATGTACATTTTAAAAGTACCCTGCGGCCACCCGATCTCTCCAGTTTACCTGGTTTTAATGTCTGCATTCATTCTCTTCCTGTCCTTGCTTGTAAGTTCATAGTTCACATGGAGACAGGTGTTTTTTCCATGTGCTACTTGGCTGTTATAAATGCCTCTTTTTTTTTATAGCATCACAACATTCTATCATGTAGGTATGTAATTTACATAGCCGTTTTATCACCATTTGACATATAATTGTTTCTAGTATTTTTATAATATAAATAACATGAACACAGCAGCACTATACATATTCCTCTCTGCTAATTTTTTATTATTTTCTCATGATGAATTCCTAGTCGTGGGAGGGAACAAAAGCTTTTTTAAACTTTTTGTTTTAAGTAAAGCAATGTATTGTTCATTATAGAAAATTAGAAAATACAATCAAAAAGATTTTTTTTAATTGCCCACAATTTTACCATTACTCAGGAATAACCCTATTAGCACTTTGTTGTTGAATTTCTTCCCTTTTTCCTATCAACAGATCTATGCATATGTTTCCCTTTGGAAGTGACATATCCTATTTGGACTATTTTGAAGCTTTTCTTTTTAACTAAGCAATATCATCTTCATCTTTCCATGGCATTAAATAATTATTCTTCAGCGGTTGGCAGACTACCGGCCATGGGCCTAATCTGCACTGCCTGTTTCTATAAATAAAGTTTTATTGGAACACAGACACTTCCATGTATTCACATATTGTCTATGACTGTTTCATGCCATTAATAGAGTTGAGTAATTGCGACAGAGACCACATGGTTCATAAAATAAAAAATATTTACTATGTGTCCCTTTACAGAGAAAGTTTGCTGACACCCTTTCTCTATCGTTTAAGTATCATTTGTTATTTCACCAGTTCCTCTGTTGGACATTTAGGCTGTTTCCCATTCATCAGTATTTTAATGCCACTCCTCTAAGCCCTCTTGTAGGTAAAAATTTGTGTACATCTATGATGACATCTTAGGATAAATTCCTAGAAGTGGAATTACTAGGTCAAAAATTCCATCTATATTAAGCTTTAGGTACATATTTCAAATTTGACTCTCAAAAAGTTTACACAGTACATATTCCTATGGACTATAAGTGGAGGTCTATTTTCTTTCACTTTGGACCAAAGTGGGAACGATGATGATGATGATGATGATGTCATTGCGAAGTTGGTATTTAATTATGTCTAATTTGTGGTTTTCTCATCTCCAGAGAGGCTGAAGGTTTTCTGTGCTTGTTTCTCATTTGTGTTCCTTCTTTGGAGAGATGCTGTGCATCTTACTTTTTATTCCAGTCACACCCTCCAAGACAGAACAGGGCGGGGGTGGGGCCACAGCCACGCCCACAGGGCACCATCACAGCAGAACAGTGAAGGGGCCGGCCCTTTACTTCTGCTCACTGTTTTCTCCTTTTCCTCCATTCTACTTCTTTTCTCCCCATATTTATATTTAAATTCTCTTCTTTGTTAGGCAGCCTCAAGTGATATTGGCCATTAATAATCACACTGTTGCCAGAGGGTGAAGTTGTGGGTTTCCACAGAGAGGCAGGGAAAGGTCTTACTGGCTCTTCCATGGGAGACATTTCGGCTCAACATCTCCAAGACCAGAAGTGAGGCAGGGGTAGCCCTGTCCCGAGTGGTGGCGTGATGCTTGGAAGCCTTTTTCCCCTTCCTCCACTCTAACCTTCCTAATTTTAATTAAATACAACTTGAGCATAGATGTATTTTCAGGATTGATGAGCTAATTTGCATGAAATGGCCTGTTCTTCAGAGAGAAAAGGGTGCTGATGCAAATTCTCCCGGTCATACTTTTGGGGTTTCTTCATGCTCCTCACATGTCCTTTTCCACCCAATCTGCTTGGTCCTTTAGGTGAGAACTGGGAAGGGTCTGAGGTTTTAACATACTTGCAAGCTAACAAGTCAACCTGCCACAATGCCATGGATGTTGACAGAAGACATGAGACCCCTGGGTCAGAGACAAAGGACTTTGTTACTACACGAGTGGCAAGCACGTACTATTTGAGTCAGTTACCCTTGTACACCAAGTCCCATGGAGGTGATGTGTAGCAGTGCAGGTGTACGTTGCACATGCAGTGGGTCTACATTACAGCTGAGGAACCCACAGCTAAAGGAATATGAATCTTCACTACGGGCGACAAGCAGACCCACACAAATTTTTCCCCAAAGGAAGACATTATATTTATTAAGCTGGACAGTAAATAAACCTGCCCCTTGCCCTAGAGAAAGAACCTAGCTCTATCTTCTAAGGCTGTTTGCTCTGCCAACATCTTCAGAAAGATGTTCTGGAACTATAGCCATCAGTGTCTCTGTGCACAAGACCCGTGGAGAATGGCCTGCTGCGTCATTTAGTGGCCCTCTCAGAGGTCCCACTCTCCCTCTCCTGAAAGTTCCCTTTTGGGTTTGACATGTTGCCCTCCTCTGTTGGGAAATGTCTTACAGATTGGGGTTCTACTTCCTCTCTGTAGTAGTTTCCTGGGGCCACACACTAGGTGGCTTCAAACATCAGAAATCTATTGTCTCACCATTCTGAAGGCCAGAAGCCCGGAATCCAGGAGTTGACAGTTCATGCTCCCTCTGAAACCCGCAGGGGATCCTTCCTGCCTCTTCCTGGCATTTGGTGGTTTCCTGGCAATCTTTGGTGTTCCTTGGCTTGTAGAGGAATCACCCTGATCTCTGCCTTCATCACCCGCTGTGTCTCTTCATCTCATCTTCCTGGTGTGTGTGTCTGTCTCTGTGTCCACAGTTCCCCTTTGTCTAAGGACCAGTCATATTAGATTAAGGCCCACGCTAATGACCTCATTGGAACTTGATTACCTCTGTTCCTCTGTAAACATTCCATTTCCAAATAAGATGACATTCTGGGGTACTCGCAATTAGAACTTGGACATATCTTTTGGGCACGTTTCAACCCATAACAGCACCCCCTAATCCAAAATGGACAGCAGTGGGTCAGGGTTGCAGAGTGTGGGTCTGAACTTCTAGAGAATGTGCCCCCTGGTCGGTGGTTTTCTAAATGAAGGGAACTTTCTTTGGCTGGAAACTTCTCTGAGCTGAGGGGAGGGAATGAACACTTTAAGTGTTCTTTTATTGAAATTCCCCGTCCTGTGGCGTTCTGCTATTTCTCTCCTTCCGACTCCAGACGCGGACGCAGTGGCTGCACAGATCCTGTCCTTGCTGCCTTTGAAGTTCTTCCCGGTCATCGTCATTGGACTCATTGCATTGATACTGGCTCTGGCCATTGGTCTGGGCAGTGAGTACAATTCATTATTTAGTAGGCGCTCTACCTGTTCAGGCGCTTAAACTTTCATGAGCTTCCCGCCGCCCCAGTGTGGGGCTGCCGCCCAGCCTTACTTACTGTAAGGAGGCAAATATCCTTCGCGTTGGCCGACTTTGAGTTTTATTTGCCTGCATGGATGTAAAGCCAACCTGGGGCCCAGCAGGGGCCTCTGGCCATGGTTGGGGCTTTGTCACCATGGAACCTGCCCAGTTAGCAGTGTCCCAAGGCAGCTGATGAAATAGAATCCCGCAGCAGGAGGGAGGCGCAGGACTGGGTGAAGAAGACAAGGAGGCCATTCACACAAGGCCAAGCATGCCTGCTATTTGTAAAAGAAGTATAATATATTTGTCGCTTTTGAGAAAGCGAGTCATTTGGATGGTCTCTAATAGAGAACAAGCTCTCATTTTCTCTTTCAATTAACCGGATCACAGATCAGTTTAATTCTCCATCTGCTCAGTGGTGTGGTCCTTCACTCTGTGCGCCGAGGCAGAGGCGACAGGGCTGTTGGGGGTGAGAGCCCTCCCTCACTGCTCCTTGCTCAGCCGGCCCAGCCAGTCAGCCCACAGCCACGTAGTTTGTCTCTTCACCTGGAGCCCTCCAGCGTCTGAATTCACTGCAGGTTGTAGCTCAAGGCCACTTAGTGAGGCCAAGTGGGGTGCAGCAGCCCCACCCCCTGGAATTGGGAACAGAAACTGGGCTGGGAGAAACCGGCTGGCTGCTGACAGAGGTGCACTTTCAATGCAGGTTTCGTGATTGATGGGCCAGCTCAGGGCCACGGGGCAGGGGGACGTTGACGTTGGTGAGCCCCCCCCATGCCTCCCCCCCTCTGCTAACACTCCCGTCTTCCCCTGTCCTCAGTCCACTTCGACTGCTCCGGGAAATACAGGTGCCGGTCGTCTTTAAAGTGTATCGAGCTGACGGCCCGATGCGACGGGGTCTTCGACTGCAAAGACGGGGAGGACGAGTACCGATGTGGTGAGGTCCTGCCTCTTCACTGTGGATGTGGGAGGAAGTCAGCACAGCCCAACCCTGGCCTTTGCCATCTGTGCAATGGGTCCAAGTTGATGCCAGTGTCAGGTCATGTCCTCAACTGGGACCCAACCGGCATTCGCCCCTGGAGATCCTGGGCTGGGAGTTAAGGGAGGGCAGTTCCACGGAGCTTAAATTAGATCGGGGAGACTGCATGAGCTCTAAGAAGGGTCCACCAAGACAGCTCAGGGCGTCCAGACAGGAAAAGGGTCCCGTGAGGGTGGGGGCGCTGAGGGCGATTCAGCACAGGGGGGTTCTGAGCTGATCATTTCAGAGAGATCTCTGCCCATGGCCTCAGGGCTCCGCCGGCCACTCACGGACTGCTGTGCCCGTGTTTTGGCCAGTCCGTGTGAGCGGTCAGAATGGCGTGCTCCAGGTGTTCACAGCTGCTGTCTGGAGGACCATGTGCTCTGACGACTGGAAAGGTCACCACGCTAACGTCGCCTGTGGCCAGCTGGGGTTTCCAAGGTAATTAACTGAAAAGGGACTTCCCGCCTTTGGGTAAAATAAAGCATTAATAGTGATAATGATGAAGGTCCAGTTGGGCGCTCACAGGCTGCTTCGCCTGTCACTCACCACATTGCACCGTCATGGCAACACCACGCTGCCTGACGTTACCCCCACTTTAAGGCATAACCAAGGCCCTGACGTGCTGAGTGGCTGCTCAGGGTCACAGGAAATGGCACGTTTGGGGTGTCTCAGGGCCAGGACAGACCTAGACGAAAATATGCAATAAAGGGCTTCAGAGCAGAAGACCAAACCCCCGGTCCTCGGGCCACAGCTGCAGTGTAGCTGCCTGTCACCACCCCGCTTGTCCTGGTGGTCACGTCTTCATCCACGCACGCTTCCTAAGGAGCCCCAGGGAACACAGTGCAAAATTCAGCAGTTTGGTGAAAACATAGCTACCGCATTTTGCGGTGTATAATGCGTGCTTTTCTTGCCCAAATTTGTGAGGGAAAAATAAGGATGCACATTACACATGGGTAGCATTAATTCAATATCTATATAAATGCCTTTCATCCTTTTATTTATGCTTATGAGTTAAAAGTGCAATAATAAATAAATGCTAAAATTTCTTTATAACACAAAAAAACAAGTACCTTTTTGTTTTGAAAATTTAAAAATTTGAATTAAATAATGAAAACAGAAGGTTTTTTCCCCTGAAAGTTTGGGCCAAGAACATGGGAGTGCATTATACACGGCGAAATATGGTAGTCAAAACAGTTGTTTAGCAACATGTAGAAGAAAGAACTGGTGTCGTGAGTCTTCACTCTTCAGTGTTGGCTGTTGTCCGTGTGGCTTTTTGCATTGGGGTGACACATTTTCACCCCGATTCTGTGCCTCCTTCTTCCTCCTGCCAACTGCCCTCTTCCATGGGAGCCCGTGATGCCATCCTTCCCTCTTTGCTCTTGATCCTGGGTTCAAAGCAGGCAGGCTTCTGAGTGCCACACGCCTCGTAGGAAGTGAGCACAGTGACAAAGATGAACTTGGAACAGTGTTCCTGTTTGCACCCCAGGAAGTGGGGCCAAGGGTGCCTCACTGTTCTGAATTCTCCAGGCACCTTCATTCTCAGATTTGGTGCGTCATAGTCTCAGCTCCTTTCTCCAAAGCCAGCGATACCCTGAAGGCCCGCTGAGATCTGCCCCTTTGTCCCCGGTGACTCAGAAATCAGCTGCCATTCCTGCTCAGTGACAACAGCACACACCCACACAAGTGCCTGCAAGAATTCTGCAGATGATCCTCCTCATCGATAAGGAGGACTTTCACAGCACACACACCACACACAGAGGCACACACACACACACACACACACACACACACACACACACACACTCTGTCACTGCAAACAGCTGAAAGCATCCAGGTCAGGATTTCTGCTCCCTCCAGGCCCTTCCTCAGATTCGAGGGGTGCCACCCTCTTCTCTTCCCCTCCCCTCCCTCCTGGAGCACCCCCTGGCCCCAGACCTCTTCTCAGTTCTGCAGGGCTCCCCTTCCGGCGCCACCCTCGGGTCTCTGGTGGGGCAGCCCTTCTCCCCTGAACCCACTCCCTCTGAGGGGAGCCTGTCTCCTCGGCATGGCCAGTTTTCCTCACGATCAACTTTCCGTTTCTTCCCCGTGTGCTGCTTCGGCTCTAGGATTTGCTGCTGTATTTTCTCTTGTTTGTTCTTCCTACGTCTTTCTTTCAAGCCCTCCTTTGGTCTTCTCTGCGCTGCTGTCTCCCATGTCAGACATCTGTGACTCACCAAGGATGGGCAGTCAAGTCGGGTGCCTGGGTTCCAACCCCAGTGCTCCCCCGGGCCCTTTCGATGGCACATGCCTCGAGGATAAGGACAATAACAGTACCCGTTACAAAGGGTCGGTGAGGCACGTAGAGGCGAGCCTGGTGCCCAGGAGCGCCCTGGGAGGGTCTGTGGCGGGGCTGCTGCCCCACGTGGAAGTTTGCGGCCTCCTGGGCTGCATTCGCGGCGTCTGGGGTCCCTCTGCACGTCCCGCCCGCGTGCAGCCCAGGCCACCCAGCTCTCTCACGCCACACTGCCCTAGCGGCGGGCGGAGCAGCCTGGCAGGGCTGGACGGGTCACTGCCACGACCGTGGTTCATTTCCTCAAAACCCAAACCTGATGGAACTTTGTACTCCGCGTAGCTGCTGTGTTAGCGCATGAGGCAGGCCAGCTGCTTCACGTTTTGTTTGAAGAAAGGGGCAAAGGGCTGTTCGCCACCCCCATCCTCTGACTCCCCACACTCCTATACCGGCATTCTCCTGACGCCCCACTTCCTGACACCTAACCATTTGCTCGCTCCTGGTGCCTCCGGACTCTTCCTGCTATGTGTTTGCCTCTCCCTCCATTGGGGACCCGCGCCTGCGCTAGGCAGATGAGGAAGGTCTTTCACTCCCCCCAACCTGTTGTTCTTGGGGTGCTCAGTGTTCCGACTTTGATGCCCACCTGAAAACACCCACTTAGTTCTGTGTTCTGGTGCCTCTAGGGCTTGTTTCAGGCCAAGCAGGCCTCAGTTCAGCTGAACGTGCCAGGGGAACCCCCAGCTCCTTCAGAAACGGGTGCCCATGCTGCGCGGATGGGGTCGTGGGGTGGGGATCAGAAGGGGCCACCGTCCCAGACTCACCAGGTCTGGAACATCTTGATAAATTGGCAAGAGGAAACCACTGACGGTTTGGGGGTACACCATGACATCCCCCTAATACGATACCTGTGATGCTGTGACTTGGGCACAATGACAGTTTGGGGGGACAGAGTGACATGTCCCCAGGACGATGCTTTGACTTGGGCACAGGTTGGTTTGAAGCACAGAGTACCTCTCACATGCCAGGCCTGCGGTCCCAATGTGCTTGCAGCTATGTCAGTTCAGACACCCTCAGAGTGGACTCGCTTGAGGAGCAGTTCCAAGGGGACTTCGTTTCCATCAACCACCTCTTGTCAGATGACAAAGTGACCGCTCTGCACCACGCGGTGTACATGAGGTAAGTGCCCGGCGGGGCTGCTGTTGGCACTGTGTCACCATCCCTGCACTTGTAAAGCTGTGCTCAGCAACCCAAGGACTCAAGAGGCGTGAGAGTGTTTTCTTCAAGTGCAAGGTGGGGCTTGGCCACCTCGGTTAGCCGGGGTGGGCACACCGGCTGGGTGCAAGGACCTACCCCCAACCACCAGTGTGGCGCGCAGAGACGGGGAGGCAGGCGGGCAGAGGCGGAACAGAGATTACTCTTTGGTGCCATAAATGTAGTACTGTGCCTGCCAGGAAGTGGGCACTCCAGATGCGTTTGGGGGCGGGGGAGGAGGAAGAGGGAAGGAAGAGAGGAAGGAAGAGAGGAAGGAAGAGAGGGAGAGAGGGAGGGAGGGAGAGAGGGAGGAAGAAATTAGGAAGAAGGAACTTAAGAAAGAAACGTATCCTTTTCCACCAAGTCCTTTCATGCGCATCGTTTACATTCCATGTTTTCCCCAACAACTCACGAGGAAGGTAGAACGAAGTGTCCTGGAACGATAGTCAGGTGCCTGAAGCTTAGAGGGGCCGCCTGCCTGGTGAGTGGAGATACAGTCAGGTATTCTGAACTCAAGTTCCGTACCTGTTTCCACCGTGGACCAAACCCCAAGGGGAGTGTGTTCTCTGCCCCGGGAAATACCATCTTGTCAGCCTGTCCATCCTGGGCTTGACAGTCACCCCTGGACCCACATGCAATCCATAGGGACAGCTCACCTCGTGGCAGGACTGGGGCCCTGGAGGCAGGAAAAGTTACAAAGGCGCCCCGGGTGGGTTGTGGGGAAACAGGTGCCTGGCTCCCACCCACGCAGGGGGAGCACAGAGCAAATCATTTCTGGGGCAGTCAGATCCCTGCTCCGGGAGGGGTCCTCTCCTGGGGGCTGTGTCCCAGGCTGCAAGGGCTTCGTGCCAGGAGAGCCCGCCATTCATCTGATAGGCACTCTGTGCCCCCCACCCCCGGGTCAGTGAGGAACATCGGGGTAAAACTGACACACGAATGACCCCAGCATGTGTTTGCGTAGCATAGCTTATTATACATCTCTTACCATCAGCTGCACACACCTTAGATGTGCTCAATAGCCTGCCACATATACAACGCTTCACTGTAGTCGAGTGTTTTTCATGAATCTGCGGCCTCATGCCCATGGTTTTGTTGCATAGACTAAAACTGTAATCTGTATTCAAGAGAAGGGGAAGCGGTTTTCTTTTACCCCAAGATTAAGTTAAAAAGAGTTCATGTCACACAGGCCTTGGTGTTTGTCATTAAGCCCACGCTTTGTCCACTTTAGGGAGGAGTGTGCATCGGGGCGCGTGGTCACCTTGAAGTGCACAGGTAAGAGGTTCAGAAACGCAGGGAGGATGGAAGTGCGAGCCTGTTCACACACCCCTGCCCCCTCCCCTCCTCTGATCCGACCAACCGGAGTTCTTCCTCCTGAGGGCCAGTTGGGAGCTCTGTGGACCCCACCTTGGAGGAGGGGAGCAGTGTCAGCCTGGTCTCACCTGCCAGGTGGGGGAGGTGCCCAAAGTGACTTCCCAGCAACAACGGTGCATGTCCTGTCACTCTGTAGTGGTTCCAGGGGCCTGACTTTGTCCCCTGCTCCCTCGATGGGAAAGCATGCACAGGCTGCAAGGTGCCCAGACCCCCCGCCTAAGCAGGCGCCCCTTGTTCCTGGCAGCAGGGAAGGTTCCCGCTGCAGGGGTTGGGTCTGGAGAAGTGAGGCAGGTGCACACCAGCACCTGTGTCGGGGACGATGGGGCTACGGAAGGTTCCCCACGCTCCTGGGGTGTTGTCATCCCTGGGGCATCTCGGGCAGGGGTGCTGCCGACATCAGGCTGTTTCCTGTGACAGGGTCTTCCCACTGCACCCCCACAACACTCCTCTCGTCCCATGTCTCTGGTGACCTGCCCCCACCCTCCACCCCGCACCCTGCACCACCCCCCCTTTGCAGCACTCTTCCCGGGCTGTGAGCTCCGTAAGGGCGGCAAGGGTGTCAGGCAGAGAGGAGAGGTCAGTGGCTGCAGTACCACTTTTCCCAGAAAGGTCTGTGGGATCAGCCCCCAACCGTTGTCCCCCTCTCCCCCACAGCCTGTGGTCTGAGGAGAGGCTACAGCGCCCGCATCGTGGGTGGAAACATGTCCTCGCTTGCACAGTGGCCCTGGCAGGCCAGCCTTCAGTTCCAGGGCTACCACTTGTGTGGGGGCTCCATCATCACCCCCCTGTGGATTGTCACCGCTGCCCACTGTGTTTATGAGTGAGTATGGTCACTCACCTTCCACAGACCTGTCCGGTCCAGGGTGCATTGGGACGGGATGGATTTGGGTGGTCAGCAGCAGGTCCAGGCCAGATCGTCACAATAGTGTCCACATGGAGGGACCCTCTGCGCTCACCATGGAGCCATCATCATTGGCTGGTAGACCTTAGATCTGCAGTTCTTACAGAAAAGGTAGAGAGAGGATGAAGGAAGCTCTCGTGCAGGAGGAAACCCACCAACATAAAGGTCTTAGGTCTTCCTGTAGCTGATCACGGTGGGCCATGTTGTGGCTGAGAGGGTGAGAGACGGTGCAGGGTGGGTGGGGGCAGTGAGTCTCCCCAGAGCAGTCTCTCACAGGGGAGGTTAGCACAGAAGAAAACCACAGGAAATACCCCAAAGGCCCTGCTATTTTTACCTCCCTCTATTTTGGTTGCTGTCTGATGGACCATGGGCCCCGATGGACCCCTCACAATCAGCAAGGTTGAGCTTAGAGGTGCAGGGGGTGAGGTGCTGCAGGAAACACCTGTGGGTCTGTGCTTCTGCAGGGCGTGGGGGCCAAGGCGGATTCGAGCATCGGCAAGGAGGGCCGTGGGACATCTGCCATCTGCCTGGAGCTGCGTGTGGGGACACCCAGCGTCCATGGGCTAATGCGGGTGGCATTTACCTGCTTTCCCTCTCGGCCTTCTCATTGCAGCCTGTACCTCCCCAAGTCGTGGGCAATCCAGGTGGGCCTGGTCTCCCTGCTGGACAGCCCAGCCCCCACCTACCTGGTGGAAAAAATCATCTACCACAGCAAGTACAAGCCGAAGAGGTTGGGTAACGACATTGCCCTCATGAAGCTGGCGGGGCCCCTCACCTTCAACGGTGCGTCCCGGTTTCTTTGTCATTCTGTCGCTTTCATTTGTTTCAAGAGAATTTGTAATTGCTTGTTGAAGCATTTTTATGACGACTGCTGTACGTTCCTCGTCAGGTAATTCCGACGCCTGATTCATGTCAGTGTTGGCATCAGTTGATCCTCTTCTCATTAAAGGGGTAATTTTCCTGGTTCTTGGTATGATGAGAAATTTTCAGTTGCATTCTGGGCATTTGGGTCACTATGTTAGGAGACACTGGGTCCGATGTACATCTTCAGTTTTAGCAGGCAGTCACTCAGTTCAGGGTCACTGCAGCCCTCAGCCTACTTTTGTGGGCTGTGGTTCTGATGATAATTTGATTTTCGAGCTTGTTTGGTTCTACTTCCGTGAACTTGGTTTGTCCGGTGCCACTGGGGCTCCCACCAGTGTCACTTTCTTCCTGCTGGTACCACCCGGAGATGAAAGAGACTTCCTCGGGCCAGGTCACCTGGTACCTCCAGGTGGTAGAAGGGGATCTTTGTCCTGTGGGGACAAAGAGCTTTTCTCTGTCTGGTGCTAGTGGTGGTGAAGTCCTCTGCCAGTGCCACCCACGTGTCCAGTGTCTCAATCTTGGCCAAGAAAACGTGCTTCCCAGGCCGGCCAGCCGGCTGTGGCGGGGCCCGCCCTGCGGCCATTTCTTTATGAGCTGGAAGATACTGGGCGTCTTCCGCTTCCTGAAGTACTCAGAAACCTTCTCTCCCAACCTGCTGCTGAGGTCAATAGTTTCCGTCTCTCCACGGGAAATGTGAAGATCTGACCTCTACAGGTTACAAAACACCCAGAAAAGCCACTCAGGATAGAACTTGCAAACTTTTTGCAGATGCAAACAAAGCCTTGAGAGCCTACTCCTCAGTAAATTCCAGCCCCCTGCCCTTTCCCAAGCGCTACTGGCAGCTTGGAGGCAGACAGTGGAATGAACAAGGCCCCGTGTTGGAGCCCAGTTCTGGCATGAGACCAGCGGCACATGTGAGCTGGCACAGCCCTCAGCGGGTTTCTCACGCGGCACACGTAACGCTCTGCACACAACACTCTCACTCGGGAAGAAACGCTTCTAGAGAAACAAAGGGAAATTGTAATGGTAGTGTTCGTTTGTTAACTGTTATTAATGATAGTTGATTATACAACACGAGATGCCAACACCTGTACTTTGATAAAAATTCAAATAAACCCTCCCCTTCATCTTTCGCTACTTTTCCATTATTGTCACGCCAAGAAGAGCGTAGCATATCTCAGGATGTATCCATGTGAAAGCCTCATGACAGCTGTGACACTGACATAGGTGGAGGGCTTATGTGACACAGCCCACATGGACAGGAGGGCCTGGGGCCTTCAGGTGTGTCAGGAGGGATAGGAATATTCATGGAGTGATGTGCTGTGAAGCAAGCACCCACGGCCTAGACCAGAAGTAGGCAAACGATGGCCTGTGGGCCACGTCTGACCATTTGCCTATTTTTGTACATAAAGTTTTATTGGAACACGGCCAGACCCATTTGTTTCCTGTTGCCTGTGGCTGTGTTCATCCTTCTGTGGCAGAGTTGAGCGGCTGCAGTACAGACCACCTGCACTGCAAAGCCTAAGATATTCACTGTTTTGCCTTTTAACAGAAAACACGCTGACCCCTGGCCTAGACTCACTGAAGTTGCCACAGTCTGGGGTTGTTTCAAAGTTGTAGGGCTGTGGTGTGTGTGTGTGTGTGTGTGTGTGTGTGTGTGTGTGTGTGTGTGTGGAGGGCTGTGCAGAGGTAACAACTTTCAGGGGACCGAGGGCTGGACCTTGTTTTGGGAGACGCTTGCGTGCCTCGGGGAGCTGATGAGGCTGTTTCCTTTGACTGCTGTTTCAGTAGGCTGACAGTTGTTGCTTCCCCCCTACACAGAGATGACCCAACCAGTTTGTCTGCCCAACTCTGAAGAGAACTTTCCTGATGGGAAAATGTGCTGGACGTCAGGATGGGGCGCCACCGAGGAAGGAGGTTAGTCGCCTGAAATCGGGATTCTGAGTCCAGGGGTGGACGTCCACACTGCCAGGCGCCCCGCAGTGTCCCAATGGAACGTTCCAGTGGGATGCCCACGTGTCCTGGTCAGGGGCGGGAGCACCTGCTCCAACAAACACACAGTCAGCCGAGCAGTAGAGGGTCGTCAGTCATGGTTCCATCTGTCTTGGGACGTGAAATCGCAGACTTTCTCAGGGGAGAACTAAATCATGAGGGAGAACTGTGGACGCGTCCTGGTGGCGGGACCGTCACCGATGCACCAGGTTCTCCTCCCACCTCCTCCGTCCTCTTCCTCCCGCTGTGTTAACCTTGTTCATAGGCGCCCAGCAGAGAACCCACTCAAGGTTTACTCAGAAGACAGAGGTTTGTAACTGGTGAGGAACTTCTGTCTTGTGAAACTTTGGTGCGTGTGTTATTTCATCCTACAAAGGTCAAGTAGAAAAAAGCAAACAGATAGGACCTTATTGCTGGAATCATAACATAATTAGTAATGTTCATAAGAACAGTACATGCCATCCTTTCATCAGTGTGGGGCACATGTGGTCACAATTCTTAGGTTTTCCCTCGATTGCTTTCCTTGTTAGTGGGAAGAGTATTCGTTTCCTGAGGCTGTTGTAACAAATTACGATAAGCAGAGTAGCTTGAACAGCAGCCATGTTCTCTCTCACAGCCTGGGGGCTGGAAGTCCAAGTCCTGGTGGTGCAAGGGAAGTTCCTTTGCAGGAGAGTCCGTTCCTGGCCTCTCTCTGGATCCTGGTGGCTCCAGCTGTCCTTGGTGTCCTCGGCTTGTGGACACATCAGTCCAGTCTCTGTCCCGGTCTTCACGTGGCCTTCCCTGCATGTCTCTGTCTCAGCTCCCTCTCTTGTAAGGACAGAGGTCTTTGGAGTTAAGACTGATCCACGGTGGTATCATCTTGAGATTCTTAGTTTAATTACACCTGCAAAGACCCTGTTCCAAATAAGGTCACATTCTAAGGTTGCAGGTGGACAAGCTTCAGGGGAGGGGTGCACAAGTCACCCCAAGACAGGAAGTTCAGAACTTTTCTCTTGAGCTGAGTCTGCCAGCTCCTGAATGTCCAAGGTACAGGGGGGCTTACCCAAAGGTCTGCCCTCCCCGCCGTGCAGGCTCTCATTCATGTGGCTGCTGTCCCCTCCTGCCCATGTTGGAAGCTTCTCCCACAAATGCTTTCGGGTCTATTCACCGCCTACCAGGTGCTGAGCTGACCGTCTCCATGCGACACCGTCTGCTCCTCACAGCAGCCCCTGTTGGGTTATTATTCTCCCGCCCATCATGAGGGCGGGGAGACTGGGGGACACTGAGCCACTTGCTTGGGTCCCCATGACCGGGTGATGGGAGGCCTGGGATTCCGCGTTCCTGCTCCCCACTCACATTCCTATTCATGGTGGCATTCATTAACTTGGAGTTCCCAAAGAGGATTATTTCATTGTCTTCATTGGATCCTTGTGGGGTGAGAAGGGACAGGTACCACATTCACCCCAAGCTCATGGCCAGGCAGCCCCCACTGCAGGGCTGGTGGACATGTGAGTGGACTGGGCAACCCCTGCAGAAAACATGGTGCAGCTCACTCTCATAGAACAGTCAAAACAAAGGTTTTTGAGGCGCGCAGACTCCCGCACTACCTGTGGATGCCTGCTAGAGTAATGGGGATAGGGTGGGCCCCCTTCGAGCCCACAGAACATAAAGATATCCCGGTTTACAAACAAGTTAAGCCAGCGGGTGTTGATTCCGTTGGGCTGGTGGTGAGGCTGACCCCCAGCAGGTAGGTTAGTTTCTTGTTGCTGCTGCAACAAATGACCCCAAGCTCAGTGGCTTAAAACGACAGGAATGCATTCTGTCACAGATGTGGAATGCGGAGGTCCTAAGTCAGTCTCAGTGGGCTGGAATTCAGGCGTAGCCAGGGCTGCTTCCTTTGGGAGGCTCAGGGGAGAGCCCTTCTCTGCCCCACCCCGCTTCTAGAGGCCCCGCATTCCGTGGCCCCTCGTCCGTCTTCACGGCCAGCAGCACAGCACCTTCAGTCCCTCTCCTTTGATCTCTGCTTCTGTCACCATATCTCTTCCTCTGACCCTTTCAAGGACCCTGTGATCACACCCCTGGGTCCACTCATAACCCAGGATCATGTCCCCCTCTCATGGTCTCATCACATCTGCAAAGTTCCTTTTGCCATGTAAGGTGACATAGTCATAGGTCCTGCAGAATGGGATATGGACGTTTTGGGAGGACATTTTTCTGCCGACCACCCCAACGTTCCATGAAGAAGCTGAATGTGTGACCTTCATGAGCCTCAGTTTCCCTCTGTGACCTGGGTTGCTCTGAGAACTAAACGGGTTGGTGTGGATCAAGTGTTTGGTGCAGGATGGGCTCTGGGGAGGTCAACTTCCCCACCTCCTCCCGAGTCGGTCCCCTAAAGGAAGTGGGTGGCCTGGGCCTGAGCGGCAGGGCCTGCATGGCCCATCATTGCGGAGGGAGCCCTAGGGCTGGTGGGTGCTTGTCGCAGACCCCACACCACCCACCGGCAGGCGTGGCCTCTGAATTCTGAGTGGGGCTCCCCTCACTGCATGTCCCTGTTGCTCTGATACAGGTGACGCCTCCCCGGTCCTCAACCACGCAGCTGTGCCGCTAATCTCCAACAAGATCTGCAACCACAGGGACGTGTACGGTGGCATCATCTCCCCCTCCATGGTCTGTGCTGGCTACCTGAAAGGCGGCGTGGACAGCTGCCAGGTAGGGGCCCGTGGTGACCTTTGGGGACTGCGGTCGTGGGCACGGCGGAGCTCTGGGGTATGGTGACCCAGCCCGTGGGACAGGCCACCGTCAGCATTTCCCTGTGACTGAAAAGCAAATTTACAGGGTGTGGGGAAGAAGTTTGCACAAGATAGCAGTCCTTTTCCTGGCTGGCCGGGCCCGTGTTTACCCAGCGTGCCCACTCTGCCTGGGCACTGGGCGGAGGGAGAGGTCTCCGGGGTGCTTCCCTCCCCAGCCCCTGTCCTCAGAGTTTCTGGGAAGACAGAAGGGGGTGGGAGACAGGTGGGAACCCATGAATGTGGGCCTCTGAAGCCACAGTGGGCGAGACTCCAATACTGCCTTGTTCCAGGGGTCAGCTAACGCCCCCTGGCCAGGCAGACCCTCCCTCTGAGAGCGTTCCCTTGGCTACGTGCATTTGCCTTGACCTTCATGGGTTCAGTGCGTGGAGAATCTGGCAGGGAGACACCTGGGGGGACCCCCCGAGGGATAAAGAACCTCACTTTTGGGAATGCTGAGTCAGTTCTAGAAGGGCTGGGGGTGAACGCAGAGCTACCCTCACACCGTACTTTGCGATTCAGTGAAGGGCGAGCCCTGCACTAGACAAGGGGCAGCCATGGCGGTGCCTGTTCTGTCGCCCTGAGTCTCTCTCCCTGCCATCTAGGGAGACAGCGGGGGACCCCTCGTGTGTCAGGAGAGGAGGGTGTGGAAGTTGGTGGGCGCCACGAGCTTCGGCATCGGCTGTGCAGATGCGAACAAGCCCGGGGTGTACACCCGCATCACCTCTTTCTTGGATTGGATTCACGAGCAGCTGGAGGTGGGTTCAGCGCCCGCCCGCTCATGCTGGGCCCGGTCAGTCCACCTCTAGTGCCCCTGGTCCTGCTGTGCAGGGAGCTGGAGAGTGACCAGTCAGTTGTTGATTTGGCAAGCAGTGACTCTGTGGCTCCTGGGTGTTGGACGTGAGCAGGCTAATCCCATAGGCGAGGCTTTGTGTGTTTGTGGCCCTGGCAGGGTGGGTACACGAGGCTCTGGTATGGTGGTCCAGCCCATGGGATAGGCCCGTGGGATTCTGTCTCTGCCAAGGGGGGGCGGTGAGCGGAGAGGCAGTTGACAGAAGCCCTTAGGGGTGGGGACCAGTCCAGTGGGCATCGCAGGCATGGAATAGAAGGTGGACAAGGGGGAGTCCGGTGGGGGGGGGGTAACCCCCAATGCCCACTGAGGGGTTTGGACCTAGCCGGGAACCAAGGATGGAATGGGGAGTCTCTGATCAGGAGACAACTGAGCAGCTCTGTGCTTTGGGGGCCCCTCCGGGGCCTGGGGCCTGGCAGAGGAAGACAGGTCAGTGAGGCTGGCTTGGCAAGACCAGGGAAGGCAGGGGGCTCCCTGAAGATGGTGGGGAGGCAGAACGGGACACACAGGGACAAGGAGGGTGACCCCGCTGATTCCAGGTCCCAGCGCGGTGGTCCGAAGGTCAGGGCGGGAGGCCGGGCTGGGCGGGACCGCACGGCAGGGCGCCCTCCGCCTTGCGGCGCTGGGCAAATCCTGGCTGACTTGAGCTCCGACTCTGAGCTCCACATCACATCTTGGACCAGTTTCAAAGACTTTTTTTTTTTTTTTTAGTTGAGGCAAAATTTACATAACATGAAATAAGCCATTTTCAAGCGAACAGCCCAGTGGCACTCAGCACGCTCACTATGCTGTGCAGCACCCACCTCTGTCTCATTTCAGACATTCCTGTCACCCCAAAGTCCTCCCTTCTTCCCCTCTCTCCCTCCTTCGTCCTCCTGCGCCTCTGGCATTCCTTTCCACGTCTTCCTGGGGGAGTTTCTGCTTGAAATGAGAGGCTAGGGAATGGTTTGGGCCCGGGGCGTGGCTGGCTTTGAATCCCAGCCCTGCTGTTGTGTGGCTGCGTGTCCTCTGTGGGCACACAGAGTTCCTGCCCCTGAGCCTGGCTGGCAGCTTGTGGCAGGGCAGCAAATGCTGGAAGACAGGCCCACCAGGAAGCATCTGCTGGGCTCATACTGTCATTCATCGGCAGGCTGGCCCAGCGCTAAGCTCTTCAGCACAAAAGTCAGCCAAAACCCATCAGCCTCTCAGAAGGCAGCAGAGACTAGGCTTGGAAAGAGCAGGCGTCTCGCCGCTGCGGCTGACGATGGCCCACGAGAAGAGCCTGGGGTGCGGGCAGCTGTGTGGGCATGGGGGTGGAGGGGCCCCAAGTTGCCCACGGAGCCATGGAAGTGCGCCCTCCGCGGGGCTGCACACAGGTACCGAGGGTCCTGGGACCGAGCTACTCAGCATGAAAGTTGAGCTTAAAACAGGTGCACGTGAAAGAAACCAGCTCCCAGGCTTCACGCTGTCGAGGGGGCTGGGTGCAGCAGGCACCGCTCCACCGCCACCCTGGGAGCCTGCTAGCCGTGGTGCTGAACGACCTCTCGGCCCATTTCCCTTTGGGCCCTCCTGGGGGCAGGCCTAGGACCGTCCAAATATTAAAGGTGAGGGGACCCACTTAAGGCCCTGAAGCTAATCAGGGCAGAGCATGATTCTAGCTCCAGCATACACTTCTTGGCCGGGGAGCCCTAGGCACCCCCACACTGCACAGCAGGTTTGGCACAGTCCCAATGTGGGGGTACACAGGACTCCCCGGCTGTCTGGACATGGAAGACGCCCAGGAGCCCTCTCCAGAGGGTGTGGTCAGAGCTGTGGGGTGGGGGCCCTGGTGCCTTTGATGGACGTGGTCTGCAGGACACACCTTGAGAGTCCAGGCGCAGGCCTTGTGGCTCCCTGCGCGGGCTTCCACTCTTCCCACGACTCTGGAGGAGCCGTTTCATCTGTAACCTGGGTGGGCCCCTTGACGTCCAGGAGCATTTAGTCCTCAGCTGCCTCCGGCCCACGAAGGCCAGTGTGAGACACACTGTGTTGCTCGTCTGTCTTCAAATGACCCCGGGAAGACCCAGAAGAGGCTTCCTTTCCCACAAGAGGCTTTTCAGAGGTGTGGGGTCTGAATTTTCAGTTGTTCCTTTTCAACATCGAGGTGAGGGCCTTCGAAGAGCTCACACTTCTGGAGGGGAATGCCCCACTTATTAGCTGGTGGTACTGCCAGCTGCAGCAGTGGTTTTCTCTGTCTACTTGGGGCTTCAAACAAAATTGCCCTGACTCAGGCTGGGACTTGGGAACACAGTGCTAAGAGCTGGAAAGTTCACGTGGAAACTATGGGAAGAATCTCAGGTCGGTGGTGAAAACTGCAGAGGCGGGCAGGGTGGGAGGTGCCTACGGGGAGGACGGCCATGCCCCACTTGCCTGGGACCCGTGCAGAGCTGGTGGCCTCCTCCAGCAGCAGCCAACTCTGTCCCCATTAATCTGGGAGAAGAGCCAATGCCCCCCTCAGGGTAAAATGCAGGTGTTCACTCAGTCCTAATGTTGGAGAGCTGGCTGGAAATGCTAAATAGATAACACCCATGTTTTCATTTCTAGAGGGACCTGAAAACTTGAAGACAAAGGGCACAAGCCACCACCTTGAGTTCCCGCCACGATGGAGACATCTGGTCCCACTATGGATTGCTGGGTGGAAACTTTGGTTCAATGCTTGGCTTTCTGGCACCAATAGCAGAGCCAAAAGGAGGGGCATCTTGGTGTCCCTCTACATCTAGGACACTTTGCTTCTATTATAACACCTCTGACAAGCCACTGGGGCTTTGGATTAAAATGACCTTGGAGCGCCTTTCTGACCTTCACTAAGAACGACACAGGAACACCTCCGTAGTGCTACCTTTCCCTACTTGTCCGTTTGGTTTTTGCTCCAGGGATCCTTCAGCCTCATTGACGAGATGAGCAAATGTCCCACAAATGGAGAACGGCGAGTGAGATTTTAGCCTCTCGGTGAAGACGGGCCGGACCAGACCTGTAGGCACTTGTCACTGTACATATCACTGGCCACAGCTCCTCAGCCCTAGGCACCAGAACCCGACCAAGACCTTCTACTCCAAGACCTGTTTTTGCACGTGGGAACTTAATCTCTAAGTGATTAGTTTAAGGTTAATTCTACTCTATTTTGTAGCACTTGTTTTATTGTTCCTTGCTTGCAAAGGACAGTTGCTCTCTGAGTGCATTCATCAGTCAGTGTTTGTCTGAATGTGTACCGACAGCTCATGTAAACTGAAATCACAAGCTTGATTCCGGAGGCTCGATGGCTTTGACCTCTTGTATATGCTTGGAGGGTCTTGCATTTTTCTGTTAGAACACATTTCTCAGCAGATCAGAGTGATCTCATATTACATCACAAGGCGCAGAAGCAGAACAAAAGAAATACTGAGAACAAAAAAAAAGAAATACTGAGAACAAAAGAAATACTGGGACAAGCCAGGGCCCTCTAACCCCACACAACGGGTCCAGAAGGCAAACGGAGGAGACAGTCACGTGGCGTCAGGAGGCCAGAGGGTTCCCTGCCTCTCTGTAGGGTCCTATAATCACAGGATTAGAGAGTGTCCTCTTAGCCACACACCTCTGCAGTCCCCATAGCACACACAGGTTACTTGGTCAGGAATCCTTGTCCATGGGCACTTTATGCCACGTGAATTCATCAGAGCGTGAATGTGCTGCTTTGTGTTGAGGCGACAGCGGGGAAGATGGTGAGTTTCAAGGAGAGCAGGATGGGTTCAGGTGCCTAGGGAAGGAGTGGCTTCAGTGAGCCCCCCAGGGAGGCCGGAGACAGGGATGGAGGAAGAGGGGGTGGGAGAGACAACGGCAAAATGGCCATTGAGCAAAAATATTTAAATGTTCCCCACCCTATCAGAGTCACCACACAGATCTCTGTATGTGTCAGGAAGGGATGAGATCATTTTCATTTTAAGTGGTTTTGCCTGCATCTCTTTGAAAGTAGTGCTAACTCATGGACTGACAATCCACGTGGTGAAAAGATAAAAGATTTCATGTGTGATAACCTCAGTTGAGAAAACGTGACGGTGGGTCAGCAGACACATATTTCTAGCCTGTGGTGGTTTCATTCGCTTTTAATTATGATTGAATTTTGTGAAGAAATAGTTGCCGTCTCACAATCTTCTTTCAAAAGGGCTTGGGAGATGCTAAAGGCAGGCTGTTAGTCCGCCTGTGCCACGTGCCTGGCACCGTTCTACATGCTTCATACACTCACTGGTTTTACTGTCACAACAAGCCTATGGGACAGGAAGTATTGGAGTTCCATCTTGTGGCTGAGCACTCTGAGGTGTGAGAGTGAAGGGACTTGCCCGAGACCACACATCGGGCCAGTGAGGCATTCAGGATTTGCACCAGGTGCATCGTACCAGCAGGAATCCAAGCAATTAACTAAATGAAAAACTACACTCTGTGGCATTTGAGTCTAAAGGGACTTTGTGCCAGCAGCTTGAGCCTATTGGGGCCATATTAGTCACTCAAAGTGGTGATCAACTTCTCCCCCCTCCCAACATGTTTGGTCTCAGTGGAGACATTTGCCGGCTCCAGCTGGAGGGTCATGGGTGGGGCTCTTTGATCCTTTTTCCCCGTAAACACAGCTGAGTTCCTGCCTCACACCTCACAGCAGGCCAGAGCGGGAGCCCAGAGAGGAAGCTGTGGCTGGAGCACCTGCCCTGCAGCCGGAGAAACAGCCAGAAGAACGTGCCATGGATGAGGTGGGCTGCTTCCCCTGGTGGCTTGGACCTGAAGGAGCAACTGGGGGGCACGCATGTCCCAAGTTAGTGAGTGAGGGGAGCCCCACCTGGGCCTGATGTCCAGGACGGGGTCGTGGGAAACGGCTCCTCTCTCTAGTACTTTAGTATTGATATGGCCTTATTTAACCAATTTGAGAAGAATTATAGAAGACCTAATGGTACTACAGAAAGTTTGGGGGAAAAGAGTGTTAGAAATTGGTCAACATCGTACATGCTGTAGTTGGCCATGAAAACTGTCACTTGCCTCCCTCTCGCAAGAGGAGGGCCTCTGGCCAGGATCTGAGGACACCTGCAGACACCTCTGCCCTCCACTTCTCACGTGGAGAAACTGTTTGCAGTGGTGCAGGAAGATACGCGGACACCTGGGTTTGCAGACCTGCCACTTGTCACAGGAACCAGCCCAGGAGCCACTGGTGGTTGAAAAAGTGCCAGGTGTGGATGCCATAGTGCTGGTCTCCATGTCCAGTTACATGGCTTTGAGACTTCCCAACATAGCAGCACGGGGTTTGGTATGCGGGGGTAAGAACCGCGTCCTGTTCAAATGGGCAGATGCAAATTCCTGATGACCCGGCCTCCCGCCACTGGGAGGCGCAGGGACGTGCCAGTGACATAGAAAGAAAGAGATGATCAAAAAGACCCAAGTTCCCGTTGCATGATGGTCCACAACACCGGCTTCAGATCAGTTAATTTAGACAAATTCACTCATTGGGCCATGTTTTCTCCCACAGTGTGAAAAAGGAAACCTCACTAGCCTGCTGCCATTTTGGTGACTTGGGGACACCATGTTCTCTGCATGGCAGCCGGCAGAGCTGTGTAGGGCCACTGCCCATGTGTCTGCTCGTGGGCACCTCTGGAGGCGTGCTGCATTCTGGTCACTCATCTCTTCCGGGTTGCCTACATAACCTGAATTTCTCCAGAATTCATGGACCCGTAGAGAGGTCATTCTTCATGTTCCCCTAGTACTTGGGGTGTGTGTGTGTGTGTGTGTGTGTGTGTGTGTGTGTGTGTCCAGCAGAGGTGGTCACCTTCAGGCAGGGACATTGTGCATGAGGCACCAGGTCGGGACCTTAGAATTTGTAGAATACGAATGATTCCCAACCCAGTATGAAAGCTCCGTGCTCACATCCTGGAGGCACATGCGAAAAAAAAAACTTTCATGGCCAACAGCTTTTTATGAAAACAGGGGTTTATTGCGCCATCTGCTAGCCCCGAAAGGACCGGGTCCTGAGGCGTGCCGTCTGAACCACCAGCAGCAGGGTCAGTGGAAAAGACAGACATGTCCTCTGTCCTGGAGCTGAGGGGTGCTTTTATGGAAATAGTTCGGGGACGATGGATGTGAGCGGTTTTGAAGGAGTTCACACTGGCTCTAGTTAAAGGGGGTGGGAGCAGGTGAGGCAGGGCAGCTCTGGGCAGGTGCACAGTCCCTGAGGAAGAGGGGTTTGCACCTTTGGGTTGGTGATGGCCACCAGTCTGCGACGTTCATGCGGAAGCAGGAAGTAGAGGCTCTTGGAGGCAGTGGTGCTTGGCTGTTTCAGATAATCACGGAAATAGCCCCCTGGAAATTAATTCAAAGTCCCAACACACACTCAGGAGTGTGGGCAGTCTTACGTTGGTTTTGCTCTGCAGTTGTTAGCTCATTAACCCCCTTGTCTCTTCCTTGAACCCTCCAGCCTGCTATAATTTAATTTAGGACATGTCAGAATTTTTTTCTTGTCACATTAGAGGAAAAGGCAAGAAAAAGGAAGGTATGGGAGTGGGACAGTCCCTGGGTCCAGATGGCTGCTGGTTTATCTCACCCACCTTCAGAGAGCCTTCTTCAGAGGAAACCTGGACACTTCCAGGCCTGGCCGCCAGGGGGGGCTCTGGGGGAGCGCAGCCACTCCCACCAACTCCTCCTGGTCATAGGAAAGTTTCAGGCTGTTTCCCAGGCTGGGGCAGCTGCTTCCTGGGCCTGTGACCTTGGGGCTGCATCTCACCTTGCTCCTGGTTTGTGGGGAAGAGCAATGGGACCTGTGAGAGCTGCTTGCTGCCAGGCCGTACCTGGAGGCGCCCACCAAGAGTCAGAACCAGCCACAGGAAGTAGGCCAGCCAGCCAGGCAGGCGTCAGAGCCCCCGGGCAAGAGCCCAGAGTCTGCACCCCATTCTATCCCACCAGGAGTCAAGCCATCGGCTGTGAATTGGGAGAGCACTTCAGCAGCCCCTCGGACGTGTGTAAGGGGGTGTTATCTTCGGGGTACAGGCATGCCCTGGGGGAAGGGCAGCAGGGCTGAGGGCTCGGCCTAACCACTTCCGGGGCCCATTCCCACATCCCCAGGACAGGAGCCATCATCAACCACACAGACGGTTGCTGAGAAAAAGAACCACAAAAATGAGGTTGTGAGGTTCTGTTTGGTGTATGTAGTCACAAGAACTATGATTTCGGAAGCATTCTTATGGGACTAATACTTTTTTCAACTGAAAATTTTATTAAGATAATTGTGGAGTCACATGCTGTCACAAGGAACAATGCAGAGAGAGGCCTCTTGTAAACTTTGCCCAGTTTTCGCTAATGATAACATTTTGCAAAACTGTAGTACAGCGTCTCAAGCAGGATACGGGCAATGATGAGGCCCACTGGTCTTATATAGATTGCTTCAGTTTACTGTACTAGTGTGTGTGTATGTCTGTCTGTGTGTGTGTGTGTGTGTGTCTGTGTGTGTGTGTCTGTGTGTGTGTCTGCGTCTGTGTGTGGATCTGGGCGTATGTCTGTGTGTATATGTCGGTGTGTGTGTGTGTGTGTGTGTGTGTGTGTGTGTGTGTGTGTGTGTATGCGATTGTGTGTGTGTGTCTGTGCATATCCATCACCACAGTGAAGACACAGAACAGTTCATCGCTGCAAGATGCCTCCCTCATGAATCCGCCGCCCCACCCCCATCTCTAACCCCTGGCAACCACTAATCTGTTCTTCATTTCTAAAATATGGTTATTTCAAAAACATTAGATAAATGGAATCATACAGGTTTCGTTTCTCTCAGATAAATGCCCAGGGGTGCAATTGCTGGGTGATACCGAAGTTGCATAGTGATGCTTTAAAGAGATTGCCGCACTCTTTTACAGAGTGGCCCCAGCAGTTTCCATTCACCCCAGAAACCTAAGACAGATGCAGCTTTCCGAAGCCTCATCAGCATCTGGTGTTGTCTTTTATTTTAGCCATCCTGACAGGCGTGTGGTGGTTTCACGATGGGTGTGTGTTGCACCTACCTAATGGCTGGCAGTGTTGGCCATCTTTTCATGTGGTCGTTGCCATCTGATATCCTCTTCATGTGTTTGTCTGTTTACTAACTGGATTGCTTTCTACTCTTTTTTTTTTAATATTTTATTGTGATTTTAATTTACATTTCCCTGATCATTAGTTAAGCTCAGCATTTTTTTCATGTGCTCCTTGGCCATTTATATTTTTCTTTCTGTGAATTGCCTATTTATAGCTTTTTTTAAAAGATTTTTATTGGGGAATTGGGGGGAAGGGAACAGTGCTGGGGAACTGGGGGAAGGGGAACAGGCAAGTCACTGTCGTCTTGCTCCTCAGTCCAGCCGCGGAGGACGCTGCTTCACTGGCCCAAGTTGGCACCATCACTGCGCTCCTCCCAGGCGAGGCAGATCAGTCGCTGGCCTCTGGATGGCCGCTCAC